TTTGTGTGCTTGAGATCAACAATATTAGTAAAGACAACATTTATTCATTAAACATCAGTGTGTTGTCTCGCTTCTTGGGAAATAGGAGAGTCCGTTCTGATTCCTCCCTCTGGATACACGGGTAAAACGAACTCACAGCCCACTGTCGTATATAAGGCAGAGCTGGGCCACAGGAACAATCCTCACTAGGAGGATTTCCGGTATCAGAGTGCTGCAGGGGGCAATCCTCTCACCAATGTTATTTGTGCTCCCTCACCCAGTTAGTCTGGAGGTATGGACTGGGTTGCCATCAATATGTAGATAACACCCAGTTCTATCTGTTACTGGATGGCCAACTGTCCTCCACCCCTGGTAATCTGACCAAGGTTTTGGAGGTTGTGTCTGGATGGTTACAGCAAAGCCGGCTGAAGCTCAATCCAAGGAAGCTGGAGGTCCTTTCCCAGAGCTAGGCTCTCAGAGTCAGGCTCCCAGCTCTTGGTGCCAGCCCAGAAAGAGAGAAGCCAGGAAGTAACACTGGAAGTCTCTCTTTCCATGGGGGCCCAGGTTACCACAGTTGCCAAGTCTGCATTTTTTCCATCTTAGGCAGATTATGTTGCTGAGATCCTATCTCTCTCCCCAGGACTTAACTACAGTGACCCATGCAATAATCACTTCCAGGCTGGATTACTGCAATTTGCTCTATGCAGGCTTACCCTTGAGGCTGACCTGGAAATTACAGCTGTTGAAAAATGCGGCAGTGTGCCTGCTGACCGCGATGCCCGTGTGGGCTCACATTCAGCAGCCGCTCCGCCAACTGCGTTGGTTACCAGTTGAGTTCCAGATTCACTTCAAGATGTTGGTAATAACCCTTAAAGCCTTACATTGCCTGGAACCAACATATCTGAGGGACCGCCCCTTCCCATATGTGCCCCAAAGAGTGTTACACTCTATGTATCAACATCTCCTGGTGGTCTCTGGCCCATAGGACATCTGTCTTGCCTCAACCAGGGCCAGGGCTTTTTCTCCCCTGGCCCCTGCCTGGTGGAACATGAGGTCAGGGCCTTATGGGATCTTCTTCAATTCTACAGGGCCTGTAATATGGAGCTGTTCTGCCAGGCCTTTGGCTGAGGCAGCAGGTATCCATATATGGCCTCTCTGAGGTGTCTGTCCCCCGTCTACTCATCTGCACCAACGGGCCAAGGAACCTCTCCCAACCACTCAATTTCTGAAATTGGGCTGTGACCACCAATTTTAATGTTGTATTATTGTGTTTAAAATTTTAATCATATTTATTGTATTACCAATATGTTGTTATCCGCACTGAGCCTGCTCGTGGGAAGGGCAGGCTACAAATATGAAAAATAAATAAATACACAAGAACCAATGGCAATCTAGAATTTAATCATGGGCCTGCTCTTTTTCAGTGTGGTTTTGCCCTAAGAATACTCAAGAAAAAAAATTCATAACTAGTGTTGCCAGCTCCGAGTTGGAAAGTCCCTGGAGATTTTGGAGGTGGAGCCTGAGGTGGTCAGGGTTTGAGGAATGGAAGAGCTTCAATAGGATATAGTGCCATAGAGTCCACTTTCCAGAGAGCCAGTTTGGTGTAGTGGTTAAGTGTGCGGACTCTAATTTGGGAGAACCAGGTTTGATTCCCCACTCCTCCACTTGCACCTGCTGGTGTGACCTTGGGTCAGTCACAAGCTCTGGCACAGCTGTTCTTGAAAAAGAGCAGTCTCTGTCAGAGTTCTCTCAGCCCCACCCACCTCACAGGGTGTCTGTTGTGGGGAGGGGAAGGGAAAGGAGTTTGTAAGCCGCTCTGAGACTCCTTCGGGTAGTGAAGGGCGGGGTATAAATCCAATCTCTTCTTCTTTCCAAAGTGGTCATTTTCTCCAGGTGAACTGATCTCTGTTGCCAGAAGATCTGGAGATCTCCAGCCATCAACTGGAGGCTGGCAATCCTATTCATAACCCATAGAAAACTACAACATTAGGAGCCCGGCAGCACAATAAAGTATTAAGTGGTGTCATATATATTCAGTTTCTTTCTCTTGCATTTTCTGTTTTCAAAGTACCATTTTTGACATTTATGTATCATTTGCTCACTGGTTCTTTCAATACAGCTGGAAAGAGAGGCCATGTAATGAGGAATGTTGATACTTGAGCCCTGTCCATGTGGTCAGTTTTTATGAGTGAACAAAGCTACCATTCTGGTTTTAAAAGCTTGAGAGGACCAATGCTCCAAACCCAGGTATTCTGGGCCAATAAAACTCCCCAGTGTTTAAAATTAGACAAATATCCTCTTCGGTATATTGTGTTATATTATGGATCATATGTGTGAATTACTACCAAAGGGGCCAATTAGATCTTTTCACATAGGAATTCAGATAGTTTAAATGAGGATCCAAACAAAATGTATGGGTAGACAACGTACTATAATCACTATAAGTCATTCTAGGGAGGTTGCTGCCAAAACTACATCCATCTTCCTACAAATGAAGACATTGTCGTGAGAAATGTCTATGAGAGATTGTCCACCAAAGTTAATGTGAATGAAGCCACAGCAAAGGTAACAGGTAAGGAGAGGACAATTGAAAACTGACACAGCAAGGAATTGTAACATTGAATAATTCCTTATCTTAGTGATCATCAACAGAGGGCCAAACTGCACAACACTTTTTCAGGTAAGTTGGCTCCAGACCCAACTTCCTTTCCCTGCATGGGATGTAATTCTAAAAACCAGCAGGATCCCGATCCAATCAGAACTACAGCATGGGGAAAACAAGGGTTCCAGTCTCTCCCCCACCCCATGACATTTTCCTGAGCCAAAATGGCTCTGAAATGAAGTTAGTTGCACAACTTTGGAGCTGCATGTGGAGCAGTGTTCCCTCTAAGCTGAGTTAGTGTGAGCTAGCTCACAGTTTTTTAGTCTCCGGCTCACACATTTTTGTCTTAGCTCAGGAAAGATGGCTCCAGAGCAAACTAATTATGCAGTAGCCAAATTGCTTGCTCACAACTTTAATACCAGTTGCTCACAAAGTAGAATTTTTGCTCACAAAACTCCACAGCTTAGAGGGAACATTGATGTGGAGTATTGTGAGGATTTTTAAAATGACATTCCCCACAACTGCATGTGGAACTGCTGTGTGACTGTAGGGACAACCACTCATAAATGTGTGTGTGTTGTATAGTTTGGCTGACAGAAGTAAGCCTACTTTCTGACAAGATTTACTGGTGTGAAACTGTGGGACCTAGGTCTATAGGTGGCTGAGGAGACTGTCAGGGACCTCAGCAATTTAGGGTATCTCTTCCATGCTATCATGGTTAGATGATGTGTGCATGTTTGCAAAGGGGTTGTGGCTCAGCAGAAGAACCTCTGCTTTGCATGCAGAAGGTCCCAGGTTCAATCCCCAACATCTCCAGTTAAAAGGACCAGCCAGTACATGGTGTGAAAGACCTCAACCTGAAACCTTGGAGAGCTGCTGCTGGTTTGAGTAGGCAATACTGACCTTGATGAACCGATGGTCTGATTCAATATAAAGCAGCTTCATGTGTATTTGCGAAAGAGAAATGACCTGAAGGAAACTAATATTAAATTGTATCCTACAACTCCCGTCTGTCAAGTCTTCTTCAAACAGAGGAAAACTTTCTGCACTGGAGGACTCTTGGTCTGTTGGAAGAAGATGGAATGGAGTTGTGGGGAGATTCAACCCATTAAAATAGAAATAACTAGGTACAGCTTCCAAACTGAGAGGACACCCTGCCAATTTTAACTTATTTGCATATCTAAGAAAATAGGGATTCTTAATGGGGGAACAGAAGAAGTAATGATTGGGAAACAATATGTGAAAACTACTGGATCAGAATCCACTGTAGTGATTACCCTTGTTTGAGCCAACCACAGTATCAGTCAGGTTGACATAGGCGCTGTGCCAACCCCTTACCTCAGTTGGCAGCAGGCTGGCCACTAAAACAGCAGCCACCCTTCAGTTTCTTTGGTTCCAATCTGGTTGACCTCTCACACTACAACCCTGCCAAGACCCATAGCAGGGTAGTTGACCAAAACGACCAAGAACAAGACTAAAATCAGCCATTAAGTATTCTTTTTCACCCATTGAATTTAATGTAACTGTCAATCAAGTCTGTAACAGCATTAGACATACATCTGATGTATACAACAAAGTCAGCCCCTTTTTTTCTATCTCTGGTGTCAGAAAAGTCAAGGAAAGCTGGGTTAAGTCAGGGTGACTCACAGAATCAAGGAAGCTAGTTTTTGATACTCTTATCTATTTAGAATTTGATAGAGACTTCTGCAAAATATAAACATTCCCAGTAGGCAAAAGCCATGTGAGTCAAATATGAGTCCAGTGAAGACCACAGTGCGCAGCAGAGTCCTGAAGCTTCCCGGGAGTAAAACAGAACCAAAGTTACATCTATATAGGCTAATTACTATAAAGTATTATTGGTGTACCAGAGGTTCTGCAGAGTTTTAGCAGAGGACTGAGACTCAGTCCAGCCCTAATTCTGCAACAGTGTTAACTCATGTACCATATATGCGGCAATATTTAACTATAAAGACATTCACCAAGGGAGATTTCCTTGATTTCTTGTGCAGCAACTATCAATATCTAGTGTAGTTCTTAATTTGTTTATTTAATTTTGTTGTGGCTGATAGGTTTAATAATTTGTACAGTCATATGTGGTGACGAGTTGGCAATGGTTGGAGATGCTCGTGGTGTGCATAGATATTTGGGCAGTGCTCTTTTTATAGCTTCCATCTCGATAATTACACTTTGTATAACTCTGGCTTTATTAGGAAGGGATCGTGGTTCAGTGGTAGAGTTAAAGGGTCCAGGATCAATCTTTGGTATCTCTCAATCAATTAACATGTGGTGGACAAGTTATCTCTCTGTCTGACACCATGGAGAGCAAATGCTAGTCAGATGGAAAAGTACTAAGTAAGATAAACCAGTGATCTGTCTTGGTATAAAGGAGTTTTGTATGTTCTTTCATTCCAGGGAATCCATGAATGATATGCCAGGGACCAATCAAACTTCCATCACCACCTTCTTCCTCTTAAGCTTCAAGCACTTGTGCCAACTTCAGTTCCTACTTTTCTTGGTGTTTCTGATTATCTACATTGTGACTGTGACTGGCAATATTCTCATCCTGGTCTTAGTTGTGACTGATGAATGCCTTCACACCCCCATGTACTTTTTCCTAGCTAATCTTTCTTTCTTGGAGACTTTCTACAGCTCAGTGGTGACCCCTAGGATATTGTCTGACTGCTTGTCAGAGGATGGCAGTATTTCTTTGGGTGGATGTATCACACAGTTATTCTTCTACACTAGTATGGCTGGCGTTGAATGCTTCCTTCTTGCAATCATGGCATTTGACCGTTATCTAGCCATTTGCAAGCCACTTCACTACACAATCATAATGAACTTCAGAGTCTGCCTTCAGCTAGCAGTAGTATCCTGGATCTCTGGCATTTTGGTATCTGCACTTTCAGTTGGGACAGTTTCCAAGTTATACTTCTGTGGCCCCAACCAAATGGACCAATTTGTCTGTGACATGGAAGAGCTGATGAAACTGTCATGCAAGAAGAGCACTTTGGCAAAAATGACTGTCTTTGTTGCCTGTTCCATTGCAACACTGGTTCCTTTTGTGTTCATCATTATCTCCTACGGATGCATCCTCTCAGCCATCTTGAAAATTGCCTCTTCTGCTGGAAGACAGAAGGCATTTTCAACATGTGCCGCCCACCTTACAGTGGTGAGCCTGTATTATGGGACCATCATTATATTGTACGTAATCCCTAAAGCAGGTCAGTCTCCAGAATTTCATAAAGGGCTCTCTGTTGTATATACTGTTGTCACACCAATGTTGAATCCTATTGTGTACAGTCTCAGGAACAAGGAAGTAAGGGGGGCCTTTAACAAACTGGTTTCCTCATCATTTAAGAACAGGATAAGTTGAGATTTCCAGTGGAGACTTCAGGAGGACTCTACAAAGTTGATTTAAAGGAAGATGGAGAAGGTTTGGTTGCCAAATGTGGAGAAACATATTTTTACCTTGGGTTTGGGCTTGACAAAAAACCCACATATAGTGGTGGGGTTTTGTTTGTTTGTTTTTAGATTTTCTTTATCCTAGCAGATGACAGGCAGGATGGGGAAAGTCAATTGCACCCAAGCATTTCTCAAGTACCAGCCTTCAAAGCTTTGTATATGCTGATGGACATCCTTGCTGGAGACAATAAAATGGCTGGTGCAAACCTTAACTAGAATCTGACAGCAGGATGTTGACACAGAGACTTTGAGGTACAAGGGACTAAATTTGTACCTCCTGGAGATTTCAGGAAATAATTCTTTGACCCACAACCAGTTGGAAAAACAGAAGAGATAAAATCCCATGGCATGGAAGGAGACGGATCCATTTTGGCTGTTTCCATCTGGAAGAAAGGAACTCTCACACCTGAACTTCATCTTGATGGCTGCCATTGCCACATGGAGCAGACAAAAGGCTAGAAGCCTAGACAAAGATTCCAAGGTAATTTGAAGTTTTTTTGTTGTTTAGTCGCACAGTCAAGTCCGACTCTTCGCGACCCCATGGACCACATCACGCCAGGCCCTCCTGTCTTCCGTTGTGCTCCAGAGTTTGCTAAATTTCATGTTATTTGCATTGATAACACTGTCTAACCATCTCATCCTTTGCTGTCCCCTTCTTCTTTGACCTTCAATCTTTCCCAGCATCAGGGTCTTCTCCAGTGAGTGCTCCCTTCTCATTTGGTGGCCAAAGTATTTGAGCTTCAGCTTCAGTATCTGGCCTTCTGGGGAACAGTCAGGGTTGATTTCTTTTAGGACTGACTGATTTGATCTCCTTGCAGTCTAGAGGACTCTCAAGAGTCTTCTCCAGCACCATAATTCAAAAGAATCTATTCTTCAGCGCTCGGCCTTCCTTATAGTCCAACTCTTGCAGCCGTACAGTACTACTGGGAATACCATTGCTTTGACCATGTGGACTTTTGTTGGCAGGGTGATGTCTCTACTTTTTATTTTGCTGTCTAGGAAGTTTTTAAAACACTAAATTCTGAGACAGAATGCCTGTCTTAGAATAAGACCAGCTGGGACATGTATAGTCAGGGGAGTTGCATATTTGCACCTTTCTTTTATATTCCTTCCTTAGTGCATTGAAAGCATGTGTGGGGCATTTTTACTTCTAATACAATATTTACTATTTGAAATGCTGAGAGTGATTTTCTGTACCACATGGACCACCACCATTTGAACATGCTAATTAAATTGGGCAAGAAGGGGAAGGGAGGCAGTCAGTTGCTAAATCACTATTTCCTTGGGGGTGCATTTAGGACTGCATTTGACTAATTTAGCTTTTATTTATTGGAAGCCTTAATTGGAAGCCCTTTTAGGTGTTTTTTTATCATCATTCCACAAGATAGGAAGACATCTAATAAATGTTTTAAATAAACAAATAACTGCAGCAAGCCATCCCTGTGTTAACCAGCTTCTGAGTAATGGGAGAAGGGGACTAGATGAAGCCTTAGAACATCAATGCAAAAAGGAAGCCAGAAGTATTAGCCCTCTTAGTGGATAATTCCTAAAATGAAGTTACTGGCAGCCTACCAAGGGAGAATTGAGAGGGAAACTCCTCCTAGGGTCAGGAAAACTAGAAAAGCAAAATGTTGCCAGGTGGAGATTTGACACAGTCACTGTGTGCCTAGATGCCTTAAAGTCTGAAGGGAGCAGATCAAAAGAGGCATTCCACCAAACCAAGTATTTCCAGTAAAAGTAGGTTCCAATTTTAGCTAAGCAGATGTTGGCCATGTTTCTCTGAAAGTCCTCCTGTTCTGTGCCTATTGAAGTGAATGAGAGCTTACAAGTGCATGGTAAAGTTCCTATTTGCTTCAGTGAGCCCTATATAGGAGAACCTCCTAATAGACTGTGTCCTTAGATTGGATGTGTTACATCCTACCATTATTTCTTCTGGTTGAAATGGGCAGTCCAAAAAGGCCAAGATAGGGATCATAGAGCCCTTGTGAACAAAAGTCATGCCAGACAGGGGCTGCAGCAAAGAGGCAGTTTGGGTGGTGTTCTTAGGGAAAGCTGGTAGTATCAGGAAATATTTCCCAGCTGTAAAAACTGACTTCCGTGGAAAGTTTTTCTACAGTGTCTCCCACCTTGTGGAATGGGCTCCCTGAGGAAGTGATGGAGGTACCTATAGTGTTGTGGGTTTTTTAATGAGGGTTTTTTAATAGGGTTGAAGGTGCGGGCATTTTTTGGAGGGTGGGTTAAGGTGTTTTATTGTATTCGTATGTTTTTAATCTTGGCATTGTAAAGTACCACGATGAGAACGTAACATATAAATGTGTTTGTAAATCAATTTTTTTTTTTAGTTCATTTAAGCCAATTGATTTCAGTAGTGTCCAGGATTCCTGGACAACTCACCTTGCAGCACTAGCCAGCAGTTGGCAAGGGGAGAGGCCACCCTGAGGAAGGAGTTAGATCTGACCAGACAGGTGTTAGGGCTGACAAGGGAATGCCTTCCAGCAGAAGAAGCACTTCTACCACTCAGACAATGGGAAGCAGCAAGAACAGCCTCTTCAGAATTAGCACCTAAGTGGACTTCCATTACCATTATGATAGAGATACAGAGCCCGAGGGTGGAGAGAAAGGGGCAGACTTCATGTAGAGCCTGCTTCTGGGAACTGCAAGCCTGGATAGCATAAACTGAGAAGGATGGCCCCATTGTTCTCTCTATGGGGCAGAGAAAAGAGAGAGCAAATCATGGAAGACACTTGGGCAGAAAGAGGAGACATTGTAAACCTCCTTCTCCCTGGTCTGAGGCCAGGGAACCTTTACCTTTACCTTTACCTGACTTCCATTACCATTATGATAGAGATGCAGAGCCCAAGGGAAGAGAGAAAGGGGCAGACTTCATGTAGAGCCTGCTGCTGGGAACTGCAAGCCTGGATAGCATAAGCTGAGAAGGATGGCCCCATTGTTCTCTCTATGGGGCAGAGAAAAGAGAGAGCAAATAATGGAAGACACTTGGGCAGAAAGAAGAGACATTGTAAACCTCCTTCTCCCTGGTCTGAGGCCACGTAAGGGAAGAGGGTAACAATAATCTCAGGGAGATACGACCGGGCAAGAAGGGGCAGATCCCATTGACTCTCCAGCCCTTCTCCATAATGCTATTCAGCAGATTTAAGTATCTGTTGGATTTTAGCTGCTTTTAAAAGCTTCCAGAGGTGCTGAATGTCCATACCTTTTCATTGTCTAGAACTGTCAGATTATCATCTCATTCAATTTTGTTTTAAATTTTTCTTATTTCCCTGGTTTTAAAATATGTGGACTTAAGAATTGACTGGTTCGTTCAGATCAAGAAAATGATGTTTGGTTTCATTACATCTTGTGTATTCTATCACTTTGTCAATGGTTCAGTGATGTCAATGGCTGGCAACTGTAAACCTCCTTCTCCCTGGTCTGAGGCCACGTAAGGGAAGAGGGTAACAATAATCTCAGGGAGATACGACCGGGCAAGAAGGGGCAGATCCCATTGACTCTCCAGCCCTTCTCCATAATGCTATTCAGCAGATTTAAGTATCTGTTGGATTTTAGCTGCTTTTAAAAGCTTCCAGAGGTGCTGAATGTCCATACCTTTTCATAGTCTAGAACTGTCAGATCATCATCTCATTCAATTTTGTTTTAAATTATTTCTTATTTCCCTATGTGGACTTAATATGTGGACTTAAGAATTGACTGGTTAGTTCAGATTTAAAAAAATGATGTTTGGTTTCATTACATCTTGGGCATTCTATCACTTTGTCAATGGTTCAGGTATGTCAATGGCTGGCAACTAGGGGGAGTCTGGATGGCAGGGACATGGGGGGGTGCCATTGGCTGACGACATTATGTCACTTGCAGAAAAAAAACAAACCAGAAATGCCATCAGTCTGTTCTAGGAACTACTGGGAACTCTATAGTTCTACCATCCAGTCTCCAGCAATTCCAAGAATTCCTCCTAGAATTTCCTAGGAGGAAACCTAGAAGTGATGTAACACTGTCAGCTGATGGTGATTTTTAAAACGTTTTTTTCCCCTCCCACCAGCCACTGGAGCAGTGGCAGGAAACAGGAGCTGGAAGCATCCCTTAACTCTGGTGAGAACCTGACAGCCCTAGTTATGCCAATATCCGACTTTACCCATCTCCTGCCAGTCAGCAAAAACCATGCTCAGGGGCATACTGGGAGGCCACAACACCCTCAGTAAATGTGTTCTGCCACCATGCCCACTCATGCCATCACGCCACCTCACCTGAAAGAAGGGCCAAAGACCTGGAAGGAGGGAAGAGAAGCATCATCATGCTCATCCTCATGAGCCCCAGTGAGTCTAGACTGGCAAGACAAAGCCAGGCACCACTAAGTTCCTCTTCACTAGCCCTACCATAGTTGGGCCAATGGGGTGAAGGTGGGCACCTCTGGGTTCCCCCATTCTGAATGCATCACAGGTTGGAGGAGTGCTGGGACAGACAAACTTCACAGGCAATGGCCCACCAGGATTTTCCCTAATAAACAGTCAATCTTCCCCAACCATGAATATTTAAACCCCTCACTAAGCCCATTGACTTCCATGGGTTGGAATGTCACTGTCAATGTACTAAGAAGAAATATTCATGATTTTGTTCTTTCCTGCATTTATAGGTACTGCAGAACCCCAGGATGGGACTGAGACTCTAAGCAGGGGCTGTACTCTGCACAGCATAGCTCTCATATTAATAAAATTTAACCAAAATCTTATAGTTCTAATCAATGCTTGTTTTGCCTTAAATGTGCAACAAGGACATAAACAACTGTGCATCATGAAGAAAGGGTATAAATGGCATAACAATGGTGTAGAATGTAAAAATGAAACAAACAAACATGGGGAAATTTTCAAACCAAGTAAGCATGAGGAAAATAGTGTT